CGCGCATGGTTTAGTGGCTCATGACCTATGATGGCTAAGCCAATGAAAACTCTTGAATTGCGGCATCCAATTCTCCAGTTTTTAATAATTATAATTTTTATAATGATAAAGATTATTATTAATAGTTTATGTTGTTTACTCTTCGTGTGTCTGCTTTTTTTATTCTATTTTTCCCCAGGTGTCTTATCGCCGAAAAGAAAGCAAAAAAGGATAAAGCTCCGTTGACGGACAGACTGATGGCACAAGCTCTTGCTCTTCAATTGGAATAGGTTGCAAATGGTTGTGTACGGAAATATGGATTTTAAGCTCACCTCGCCAATACTTACGTTATACGAAACACAACAGAAAGAAACTGTTAATAAAATAACTTTTGACGCCAGTTGACAGAGATTGTTGTACCACTGGCAAGAACAAGAGGCTGTTCTCACTGTGGGAAAATTTAGTGATACGCCTTGATATTTGGCACTTTATGAGAAGAATCGCTGCTGGATGTAACCCAGAGGCTCATCCACTCTATTATAGTGTATTTGTCAGTTGTTTATCGCAGTGCCTCTTCCAATGGAGCAAAGAAGACTTGGATTTATTGAAGACTGCCAAAAAAAGTCAACTGCAGATTCAAGGAATTGCTGACCCTTCTGAGGCAGCCATTATTGAGAAGATTACAAGGAGAGAATTGGCTCTACATTGCCGTAGGAGAACTCGAGGAATAGTACTACAACACTACTACAATGATTTATTACCTGCTATTAACGTTTACTGATCCCCAGGGATGTGATACCACTGGAGTTCCTCTGCTCGACAAAACATGCATATGGGAAATATGGGACAACCAAAAGCACCATATTCCATGCATCCAGGACCCTGAGGGGGTGTAACTGTATACTCAAACTGGGGTATTGACTAAAGGTGGTGTCCAACTTCCAACTTATAGATGTGCAAGAGGTTCAACATCTTTGGAGTCATTCCACCTGCATATTAATAAACTCATAACCAGGTAATGATATATGTGTAAAGACTTGACATATTGCAAATACTTCAGTCTATAAAACTGTTTTCATTTCTTACAGGTACCTCAGCAAGTGACATTCGTTTTCAAGCTTACTTATTAGATGGCCTGACGAGGTGGAATGCCGATCGTGCTTCTGCTGCAGTGTCAAGTACTTTGCCAGCAGCCATTCCACTACCCCATACCACAGGAACAGCTATTCTCAGAGGTCAAACTTCAAAAGTTTCCCAACCGATTCCAATCCTTCCAGCTCCTGTTCCTTTTGTACAGCCACCATCAGCCTCAACAGCACAATCAGTGTTGGCAACAAAAGTCTCAGTCTCAACCACCAGCAAACCTAAAACAAAAAGATGAAACAAGGACTTTCTTGGAACAGAAAGCAAGTGGCAGTCGTAAGCGATCCTTGTATAACATGCTTTGCCCCACGTGTGGAAAAAAGAGAGACCCTGAAAATCATAAACAGTACTTCGGAAATTGGTATTGTAACGCAATGACTGAAAGCCTTGAGACATGGATAGAAAACCTAAAAAACAACAAGGGATATAAAAAGAAGAAGACAGATTAACTTTTTTTTTTTTTTCAGTTCAAGCTTCCTTGAACAACGCCGAGTGCTGGGCGGCGGTTAATTAGCCTGGCTCCCTCAGTTAGCAGATTGCTAATGAGGAGTGGGTAACTATTCCCCTGATGGAAGAAATGCCATCATAAATGAAAATCCTCAAACTTTTAATGCTGCCTAGCTCAATTGCTAGAAGGTCCCAAGCCCTTAGTAAAGCAGAGGGAAAGTTTGTTGAATTCTCTTAATTCTTTTCCTTCTTTTTCTTTTTGTTTTTGTTTTTGTTTTTGCTTTAAACACTTTTCAACAACGTCCCCTAACAATTTTTCACTTTTCTTCGTATATATGCATTGATTTTAGCGTAATAAAGGTGTTTCTCTCTTTGTGGGTGGCCTGTGTCTCAGTAGAGGAATCCCCTTTCTGCGCTGGGATCTCAACACCGAAGAATGAGCGCCTTCCTCTCCCACGGTGGGCGCCTATTCTTCTCTGTTGAGATCCCTGGGGTAAACAAAAGCACAGGCCACTCGCAAAGAAAGAAATACGCAAATCAAATAATTATGATGAATCAATCCATATTTATATTACTAAGTGAGAATTTGTTGATAGGAGACTTTCGAAAATTTTGAAAAGCAAAACAGAGAAGGAAGATACCAACAAACTTATTTCTCACTGCCCTATTCGGGGCTTGGGACATTATACAGTTATATTTGTTCTCTGTGAAGGAATTGTAGCAAAACGATTGGAGTCACACTGAGAAAAGCTCTCGAATGCCGTGT